CTTTTAAGCTCCACTGATGTGTATCATTTGCAGGTGTGTAAAAACACACACCTGCTGCAGTCAGCCCTGCCGGCCGTGCTCTCTGGTGCCATCATGTGGAAAAGTAAAAGAACTGATGAGTGGTAAAAGAACTGATGAGTGGTAAAAGAACTGCTGAGTGGTGAAACACAGATCCCAACAGAACAGGTGGAATTCATCAGTTTACGTTCCTCATTTACACACTTTTCCTGAAGATAGAAGAGTTTGTTGAATCTGACGTGACATGTTCGTATGAACCCTTCATACGAACAAAAGTAAGAGAAATTTAGGATAAGAATACGAACATGTTCTTGCATGAGGCCCAATTAAACATTGAGTTTGACAGTTTAGAGAAACAGAAGGAAAAGATTTTAAAAAATACAAAACGTGTTTTGGCAAAACAGCACAAAGACAAAATACAGTATCTGCTGTGGATTACCAAGTGAACGTGGGGAGCTTAAAACTATAAAAAGATAGTGTAAAACTAAATATCTGATTGTTTATTAATAATATTTTTAGTGAATACAGCCTCAATATCATTAGGTTTTTATAAAGCTGTCTGGATGAAATGATAAATGTATTTTTACTTTCTAAAAGGCAGCTTTTCTGTTGTCTAATGGGCCCCCATCACAGTGAATTTCCAGAGAACAGTCTCACCATATAGGTTCTGAATCCCTCTCAGTTTGTGCATCAGCTCCTTCACTTTGGTGGGGAGTCCAAAAAAAGGCCCGAGGTCAGTCGTCTCAGCTGATATCGTCTCCATGGCCTGTATGGCCACACTGATCTCCTCAGAAACCACCGCCTCTTTCAGCACAGCTGTCCGAGAAACTCCCCGAGGAGCGGCGGCGTTCCCAAGCATCGTTCTCTTCAGCAGGTCCGCCACACTCCTCCTCGCTCCGCCGTGCTTTTTGGTCCCATCTTCTCTTACGGCCCCGAGCACCCTGCTGGCACTTTGCTGAGGTGTGGAGGTTCTGTGTGCATCCTGCAGTCGGCTCCTTTTGGTTTGTTCGTGAAACTGCAGCTGGCTGGCCGGTAAGTCCTCGAAGGGCTCGTTTCTGAACTCGTCCGAGATGGAGTCAGTGAGGGTGTGCTCACACGACTGTTTGGACTGCAGATTTGTAAAGTCCTGCTGGGTGGCTGCTCGCAGCCTCTCGTTCTGTTCCACATCGTCCAACTTCGCCAAGAGAGAGCTGTCCTCAAGGATGCTGTCGTAGTCTCCAAACAAATCTTCACTGTCACTGCAGAACTGTTGGTAAGACACAAGAAGTTAGCTACAGACTGATAAACACAAAACTGAAGGTATCGGCCATCCAGGTTTTTAACAGTATAATCTGATTATCGATGTACTATTTTTTGATTGTCAATACAGTGTCATAAAATGACCAAATGTTTTAGTTTTCTCTAAGTTAAAATTGTTTTATTATCTTGTGTCACCTTGAGAGACTTTAAATATGAAAAAAATGTTAATACATGTTTGGTATGCAGTTTTTGTCTACTGTTTATTGTAATAATAATATTGTACACATTGATAAAACTGTATTAAAAAAAAAGAGTATCACTGTTTGTTAAATTAGTCGATTAACTGATAATATGACAAACCTCTACAGCCCGACTATCGGCCATGATGATGCTGGGGAGACATTGCCGTGATCCGAGGCTCCCTTTTTTCTTTCGGACAGGTGTCAGGTGAGTCTTCAGAACACCTCGCGACCTCTTTCTTACGCAAACTCGTTTTATTTTGACGTCGAGCCTGCCGTGATTCATTCCTGTCCGTGTTTGGGTTCAGCTAGAACATGCAACACAAAGCTCTCTGACATTAACATAAAGCTAAAGACACAGACGCCTAAACACAAACTAACCTTTCCAGCTGAGCTCTGAAGAGCAAGCAAGCTAACTCAACTGCTACTGCTAAATCCTGCACTCATGCGTTAGTTTCCATTTTCAAACAAACTGCAGCCGATTCACAAACGCTTCTTGCATTCAGAAACATTTTTATAACTAAAATAATGTAACTGTACCTGGTAAAACTACCACAGATAGCTACAACTAACTGCTCAGCGCGCACCGCATTCAAACCGATCTGTCGGCGTTTCAACAAGAGGAGTCCCTCTGCTACTTCCGGTTTCGTGTTGTCTATCAGACACCAGCCTTTACTTTTTCACAATTCTTGAAATATCGTGCTCAAATGACGTTACAAAATATGGCATCGTGATTTTATAACAAAGAAAACGCTAATAATAGTTATATTTGATATATTTGTGAATTATTTATTAATAAGGTAGCAATAAAGTGCAACTTTATTTCTGTTTGTAACATTTTTCTTGTCATTATATATCTTTGATGTGACGTAAGCTACATTGAACCCTTATCGAAGAAAAAAACAAAACAAAAGTAAACCAATAATTTATTATAAACCTCCAGGGAAATGATACGCCGTAGTAGGAAAATAAAAAGATAATGAGGGAAAAAAATCAGGAACGAAAAATGGACATCTCATATGATTATGACTTTTTAAAATCATAATATTATGACATTTTTTCCTCGTAATATTATGACTTTAATCTCATAATATTACAGCTTTAATTTTGTAATTCAAACAAAAAGCTTGTAGTTCAGCTCTTCGTTTTAGATTACAAAAGAGCCATGTTCATGCAGAAGATGTCGGAACTAAAGATTTCGGTAACTAGTCTGGCGGAATTATTCTTGTCTGTACCATTTCCTGTCTAACACGAAAATGTCGTTTGTTAGGGGTCTCCAGAGGGTAAAAGCTGCTTTAAATCTCCGTGGAAGCATTGGTGAGTATATATATATGTGTGGTCAGGATACAAGTATTTTTTGTGTGTTTTAAAGTTAAAACCGTCTATTTGTTTATGCTAACTTTGAATAGCTCGCTTAACTGCTTGCTGCGATGCTAACAAGGTCGTTGTTGCTCATTTCCGTAGGTTTCAGGAGTCTCACGTCAAACGGAGCTTATCACAAAGATGACATGGTATATTATTATAATTGGATAATTGTTAACACACAGTAAGATGTCAGAAATGACGGAATGTTTTTCTTAAGGTCGTGAAAATGGAGAATCCTTACAGAGAGTCTCCAAAAGTCTGCGTTCTCTGCAAAATCCCTGTAGACTTTAAAAACGTACAGGTGAGTCACATAATACTTTACTGCTTATTACACAGCTTGAATTTTAGATATACCTGTGTGAGCAGGGCAGAAGCGATCGATGCTTTTAATTTCAATACAATTCAAGCAAAATTAGTACAATAGTGTAAACTATAATTTAATTTGGTTACATTGCTGACTCACTGAAGTGGTCAAAAAATATAATTTCACTAAAACTAGACTTGTTTGTGTGAGTGGGTTATTAGCAGTTGTGTTTTCTTGAGATGATGAATTTGGTTGTTAGTAAAAGTCTGTTGGAAAGTGTTGTGTCTTTATCACGGTTTGTTCTCAATTTGTTTCAGTTTTCACAATTTGAAAATCACACCACTACCAATTTATCTGTAAAAATAGTTTTGAGTAATTTGTTAACTTCAAAATCCTGAAATAATCTTGTGTTTTATAGTTTTTCTGTAGATGGGATATTTATATGGCTCTTGTACACTTTTGAAGAAACAAATACAATTTAAAACACGTCTTCTCTTTTCTCCACTGGTTTAGTGTGAGTTAGAGCTCAGCAACAGTTTGATTATTTCTTAGGATCTAAATTTGTTGACTGCTCCCACAGTATATTCTACCAGGACATTTAACGCACTTGATTGTTAAAGTAACTTGTTAACTAACATCAGCCACTTAGGTGTGTGAATAATTTGAACACTCATCCACATTATCAATACAGTGTACTATTTTTTCAGTGTTAAAAGTGGTGGTTAGTTAATTTGTATATTTGGCTTTTTCCAGCTGCTGTCTCAGTTCGTCTCTCCGCACACAGGCAGGATTTACGGCCGACACATCACAGGTGGGTGAGCCACTACAGATCACTGTGTTTTAGATCAAATGTGCCACAGACTCAAAATATCTTTCTCTGTCCTTCAGGTTTATGTGGAGTAAAACAGAAGCAAATCACTAAAGCTATAAAGAAGGCTCGATCAATGGGTTTGTTCATTTACAGCTCTGTTGTCATACAAAGATGGTCATCTAATCTGCATGATTGTTTGATCTCACTGCTCTTATTTTGAAAAGATGTGTTGTTTTTTATTTGCTACATCATCCTCAGCGTCAACATTAAGGTGGCTGACAGAACATTACATTTTTATATATTTAGTTTAAAAGAGGTAACATATTTATGTGATTTATACTAGTAAAACTAAGTCTAAGCTTTATGTGTCTGAAAAGCAGGAAGCTTTACCATATCTAACTTATTTATTCCTGAGTATCATCTTAAACAACATTTTAGTCTTTTTGAGCTCAGGAATACGCTTGAAATTTATCATGAAGTAACTGTTATTTGACTTAAATTGGTATCTTTTTTGGATCAATTTAAAGAGACAGTTCAAATCTTTTGTAGTAGGGTTCTGTGGTAAGGTTGATTTACATATTGTCAAAAACAGCTGGGAGTATTTTTTGGTGCTTGGACTGTTTTTGGAAGCAGTACAGACCCAAATTGAAGCATAAAAACATGCAAAAATAGTGAATTTTGTGTAATAGGTTCCCTTTAAATAATAAATAACTAGTGGTGGACACAGTTAACCAAAAATTAGTTTGACTAACTCTTATGGTGCGTTCACACCGAACGCGACTTCAGCTTCAAAACCACAGCCAACGCTGAAGTTTGAAGCTTGTGCACTTTGAGGTCAGACGCAGGACAGCTGCGCTGCACGGCAGAGCCTCCCCGCCCCTCCCTCCTCTGTCGGGCTCTGTTTAATGTCGGACGAGGAAGTGGCTTTGCTTTATTTACAGAGCAAGAGCATGTCACGTTCATCAGATAATTAATTCATAATTAATTCACCAGATAATTCAGAGTAGAGGCTCACAGCTCGCTTTCAGGACTATTTTTTCAGTCTGATGAGTCGCTGCCATGCATTGCTGCGGATCAGGACACGACTGCAGGCACTCGATTTCAGCTAAAGAGCTCCTCTCTGTCTGTTTCAGGTTAGTGGACATCGTTCAGTAAACTGTCCCGTCGGGAAATATGTCGCTACGTCACAGAGTGGAGTCTCTCTGATTGGTTGATACTGCGCGTCGAGCTGCAAAAGTTCAGATTTTCTAACTTCAGCGATTTGCGCCTCAGCGCGTCGAACGCTCAGATCGTTCAAATCGTTCAAATCACGCTGCTCTAATCGCGCTTGAGGCGCCGCAGAACTTCCCGACGTTGCTTGAAGCGAGTCCACCATAGACTTTGCATGTAAACCTGATGCTCCTGACACTGAAATCGCATTTGGTGTGAACGCACCATTAAACCACTAATCAGATATCTTAGTTCCGCTAACAATAAAAAGCTAAATTGATTAATAAATGGCAGAAGCTAAAGCTAAACTGCTATTAACTAACATATTAACATTTAGTGCACCATGTGGCATTCAGTATGATGTGCTACTGCACCTGTTAGTAGTCATGTGACGTTCACGAACGATCTGAATCGTTTGAACGGCTCTTTACAACGAACGATAGGAGCCGAGTCGTGGGCAGGAACGAGCCATTTTTAGTTTTAATTATTTTATTCCTCATATAATCTTTATTAGCCCTGTGATGGACTTGCGACCTGTCCAGGGTGTACCCCGCCCATCGCACTGTGACTGCTGGATATGGACACCAGTGACCCACGCAACCCTGAAAAGGAAGAAGCGTGTACAGAAAATGGATGGATGGATGGATAATCTTTATTGTTTCTTCCTTAAATTGCTCCCGCTTTGCTTTTTCACGGAAAACATGCGGAGTGGTGGAGAACAGAAGATCACGGGAAAGGGGGAGGGGGATTTCTGCTTGACAAAACACGTGGTTCTGCCCACGTAATCACGTCGCCATGTCGCCATACGTGATGACGTAACTCGTTCAAAATCAAATGGCTCTTTCGAATGGCTCTATGAAACAAACGAGATCCTAAGATCCGGATCCCATCAGAGAGCCATTTATCCCATCACTGGTGCTTAGTTCCCCCATCTATTCCTCTGGTTTGGACCGCCAGGTAATGGTTTCAATTATTGAACTTCAACACAAATATCAAACCAAACCTAAATGTGTAATGTCACCCAACATGACACAAAATCCTTCATAGATCACAGATAAAAGTGTTTATATCTCTTTTGGAGGTAAAATTTGTTAGATAAGAGGAAACGAAATCACAATTGCATGCAAGGTGATGGCTGCCATGTTTTATGATAAAGCCAGGAGGCGGAGCTACAGCTGATAAACAGGCCATGGGAGGGGAAACAAAATTACAGCCTGTGAAATCATGTTTCTGCTGATTTAGTTATATTTAAACACAAAAAAATATTGCCCAAGATTAAAGCACAGATTTGTGTCTTTGTTTTACTTTTTCAAATTTTGCAACAAACTCAAGAAATTATTTCTGTGACTGAATAGCATCGTAGCTGCAAAGGATGATGGGAAAATATCTAAAATGAGTTTTTCTGACTTTACAAAAGTTTTGAGTGTAGACTATGGGATAAGATAACTGTCAGAATTATTGTATGTGTAAGAGTCTAAATTCGTACATGTAAGTCTATAAACGTACATAAATTTGTTACAACTTTGCCACATTACAAGCACGAATCAAATTTACAAGAACAATTCTTTTACTCATCAAAATAACAGACTTTATTCATGGAACACCAAAAAGATCGACTGCAAACAGTAACTAAGCCAGACCACTAGGGGGACATGACCACTGCCTCATTTGGGACCAGATGAACTCGTTATAAACACAACAATTTACTGAAGGGAAAAGCATTTGGAGGCTTTTCAGTTTGTCATTCATGTCATGTAGTACAACAATAAAGTAGATAGTGGATTTATGATGAAATGTGTTATTTTATTTAATTTTAACTTTAACACTGATTTCATTTTTTAAAATATTTTATTCAATTTCTTAAAGATATATATTTTATATATAAAGCTGCCTTACCAGGTCAGCAGCACAATAATTAATATACAGTGGAGTGATGATGAAATGTTCCAAATTATTTATAGACCATATTTTTTAAGTAACTTCTCTTTAACTTATGATACTGTTAACACTACTCTGCACTACTACTGAAGACTGGAGCCAGGTGGAGAACAAACCTTCAGAGGGTTGAAGTACAGGTGGAGACGTCTCCATGACTTGCAGAACATCAGGACTAATGCTG